AAAACTTCTGAGTGTTCTGATATGGTCTCCGGTGGTCCGTCTTTTTTCCCCTACATAGCCTGGTTATTATCATTCTCATTATAACTTATGAATCGCCCCACTCTGCTAGCAGGCTCTGGGCGATTTACAACTGCAAAAGCAATTAAAATTACAATCGATATAAAATCACAGTAACCAAGAGGTTAACCAGTCCAAGATGGTGATATGATCCCTTTCGCTGGCCACACTGCTGTCTGCACAGCGGAGCAGGGAAGGGCACGTGGGGATCGTAAGAAGAAAGAGGGGGTGCCAGTCTTAACCGTTGCTGCCCTCAGCTAAAAGGCCGGTGGAACATCTCTGCCTTACAGGCCCTGCAGAATTGCATCAGATTCCGCAGGGCCCTGATGTTATTCCACCAGGTCGAGGCAGGACTGAAAAGGCCATGGCCCTAATCGAGGACAGCCGGACCTCCCTAGGGCCGGGAATTACCAGCAAGTTGTTATCTGCTGATAGGGTTGCGGTGGCTCTTTTTGTAGCAGGAACTCCTTTGCATATTAGGTGACACACCCCTAATGTAGCCAATCCTCCAAGAGCTTATGAGCTCTTCTTACAGGGGCTACTGTAAGCTCTTGGAGGATTGGCTACATTAGGGGTGTGTCACCTAATATGCAAAGGAGTTCCTGCTACAAAAAGCCCTGCGAGCCTCCAGGTGGGGCCTGGGGATCTCCCGCTTTTACAACTGATCTCCAGCTGACAGAGATCAGCTCCCCTGGAAAAAATGGCTGCTTTGAAGGGTGGACTCTATCGCATTGTACCATGCTGAGGCCCCTCCCCTCCCCAAACCCCGCCCTCTCCTGGCTCCACCCCCAACGTCTTCAGGTATTTTCCAACCCAGACCTGGCAACACTATCTGCTGACCTCTAGAGAGCAAAGCATATCTGAAAGGGTTGTGGTTCATGGTCATTCTTGGTTCTTCAGGTATTGTAATTCTTGGGTCTTCCATTACTAACTTCCATTCGGATATCTGTAAAAAAATAAAATCCCTTCCTTGTGGTTCGGGAAGCAGCGGCACAAAAACCAGGTAAACCAAATAAAGAAGGGAAAGATTTTACTAGAGCCATAATGTGCTGGACCGTTTCTGACTAATGACACAACCTTGAAAGAGGAGAGTTACCAAGCGATTCCATTAACGGTGTAAATATGTATTTTCTGTTTCAGAATGTCAAGTCTCCCTAATTAAATCGGCTCCTTTCCCCTCCATGACTCAACGATGGATCCCATATCGTTCAATGTTAAGAATCCTCAAACGTCCAGTGATGGCTCCGTGGACTTCACTCTCCAGCTAGTAGGTTCTCTGCCCGTCCACACTCTGACCACTATGGCTGTGCTGCCTTGGATTGTGGCAGAGATAAGGCAACTGAGCACAAAGTCCTCGAGGGAAGAACCCGGCGCCGACCAAGTCCGGCTTTACGTCTCACCGACCAGGTTGCGGTGTGAAGCTGACACCGGCGAAAGCCAGCCATGGGATCCTCTGCTCTGTTGCAGCTTGTTTGAGCACAGGCCGCAGCACGTCCACAAGCTGATTCACAACAGCCAAGACCCAAGCTATTTTGCTTGCTTAATAAACGACAGAGCAGTAGATCAGCAAAGTACCTGTTACGTATTCAAAGCCGGGGATCAAACAGAAGTAAGTGAAATGTTTCCGTTTGAGTTCTTGGGGTTTTTTTTGTTTTGGTGGGGCTTCTTTGTTTTTTTGAAGACTGCACGCTGCAAATTCAGAGCTTTGAAATAAATCAGATTGTAGAGAGACATATCATCTACTGTGTTTGAATGCAGCCTGGGCACTGTAACAGTCCTTATCTGTTTCAGGTCTGTATTGACTATTGAGTTCAGTGATACTCTTACTTCCATACAGTTTCTTTATGATTTTGATTTTGTTGTTGTTCAGTCGCACAGTCGAGTCTGACTCTTTGCAACCCCATGGACCACATCATGCCAGGCCCTCCTGTCTTCCGTCGTGCTCCGGAGTTTGCTTAATTTCATGTTCGTTGCCTCGATAACACTGTCTAACCATCTCATCCTTTCTTCTTTGACCTTCAATCTTTCCCAGCATCAGGGTCTTCTCCAGGGAGTGCTCCCTTCTCATTTGGTGGCCAAAGTATTTGAGCTTCAGCTTCAGTATCTGGCCTTCCAGGGAACAGTCAGGGTTGATTTCTTTTAGGATTGACTGATTTGATCTCCTTGCATTCCGGGGACTCTCAAGAGTCTTCTCCAGCACCATAATTCAAAAGAATCTATTATTCGACGCTCAGCCTTCCTTATAGTCCAACTCTCGCAGCCGTACAGTACTATTGGGAATACCGTTGCTTTGGCCATGCGGACTTTTGTTGGCAGTGTGATGTCTCTACTTTTTATTAGGCTGTCTAGGTTTGCCATCGCTTTCCTCCCAAGGAGCAGGTGTCTTTTAATTTCATGGCTGCAATCACCATCTGCAGTGATCTTGGATCCCAGGAAGGTGAAGTCTGTCACTGTTTCCACGACGTCCCCTTCTATTTGCCAAGGAGTGATGGGGCCGGATGCCATGATCTTAGTTTTTTTGATGTTGAGTTTCAAGCCAACCTTTGCGTTCTCCTCTTTTACTCTCAGCAAGAGGCTCTTTTTTATTATTTTGATGCCAGTGTGTAAAACCACCTGGCTGTGCATTTTATCTAGGGGATTATTTGAACTCCCAACCAAATTGCTGTGTACTGAGAAGGCTGGTATTCTGTGTGTGTCCAAGTCAGATGTGTCAATGGAAGCAGTGCAGACAGGAGACATTTATCTTTTCCTTCAGCTGACGGCTGTGGATAGCCCTGTCATCCATTAATGTTGTTAGTGCATTTTGGAACCCATTTGTATTACTGGCCTTCACAATATCGTGTGGTCAACTTTCCCATTGTTCCCCAGGGAATTCTGGGGTTAGACCAAGCTCTCAAGCAGAAAATTGTTAGCACCTCCATCAAATTGCAGTTCTCGGTAATAGGTTCAGATGGGTAGCCATGTTGGTCTGAAGCAACCGAGCAAAGTTCGAATCCAGTGGTACCTTCAAGCCCAACAAAGTTCAGTTCAGCGTATAAGCTTTCATGTGCATGAAACCTACAAGTTGAGCTGCTGTAAAGATAAAGGTAAAGGTTCCCTTGCTTGAAAGCCAGTCGAATCCGACTCTAGGGTTGTGGTGCTCATCTCCGTTTCAAAGCCAAAGAGCCAGCGCTGTCCGAAGACGTTTCCGTGACCGGCATGACTGAACACCAAGGCGCACGGAACGCTGTTACCTTCCCACCGAAGTGGTCCCTATTTATCTACTTGCAATTTCTTGCTTTCGAACTGCTAGGTTGGCAGGAGCTGGAACTAGAGACGGGAGCTCACTCCATCATGCGGCACACTCGGGTCTCGAACTGCTGAACTACCAACCTTCCACAGCCTGCAGTTCAGCGTCTTAACCACTTGAGCCACCGCAGCTCCTTGAGCTGCTGTAGAGTTTATCAGTTGGTAGTATAGAATTGCCCAGGGTCAGGACAACTACTGAGAATCCCTGGCACATAAGACTAGCATCATTTCAAGAGGTGGAGCCCCACCCCCCCTTCACCTCCTCAGAGAACACAGGGGTTTTTATTCTGCATCTTTGGGGTTCTATTCTGCATATTTTACATTGTGATTTGCAAGCCATCTTGAGCTGTGGAGAAAGGTGGCGGTTTATAAATAAATAAATACACAATGGGCTTCTAGAGGGGAAGGCTGCTGTAGACCAGTGGTCTGGAATTGTGGTGATTGCACTGTGTTCTAAAGGTCTACCTGCTCTACAAACATATCCTATTTATACCAGGATAATTCTTGTAGCCCCCTGTGATGAATCCTGGTAATTATAATTAGATGAGGATGCAGAAGAAGAAGAAGAAGAAGAGATTGGATTTGTACTCCGCCCTTCACTACCTGAAGGAGTCTCAGGCTTAAAATCTCCTTTCCCTTCCTCTCCCCACAACAGACACCCTGTGAGGTGGGTGGGGCTGAGAGAGCTCTTTTGAGAACTGCTCATAAGAGAACAGCTCTGAAACAACTTGTGACTGACCCAAGGTCACCCAGCTGGCTTCATGTGGAGGAGTGGGGAATCAAACCCGGCCCTCCCAGATTAGAGTCCGTACTCCTAACCGCTACACCAAACTGGCTCTAAGAATTCTGCGCTACTGATTCTCCGTCATAGGATTACAGTTTGCAGGGAAGAAGTGACGAGCAGTGAAGAGTTTACAATTAGGACTAGAGACTAGTAAGCTTTGGCTAGCCTGTATAGAACCACAGAGGCCTTAGGAACTGGGCATTAATGCAGCTTTGGGGGTACCCGATGGTGCGGGGATGGGCCGCTCCATGTCAACCATGGGATGGCTACTCTGCTGCAGTCTCATAAGAACATAAGAGAAGCCAACGTTGGATCAGGCCAATGGCCCATCCAGTCCAACACTCTGTCACACAGTGGCCAAAAATACCAGGTGCCATCAGGAGGTCCAGCAGTGGGGCCAGGACACTAGAAGCCCTCCCACTGTTGCCCCCCCACAAGCACCAAGAATACAGACCGAGAGTTCCTATCTATATCTTGTGGCTAATAGCCACTGATGGACCTCTGCTCCATAGGCTTATCTAATTCCCTCTTGAAGCTGTCCATGCTCATAGCCGCCGCTGCCTCCTGTGGCAGTGAATGCCATGTGTTAATCACTCTTTGGGTGAAGAAGTATTTCCTTTTATCCATTCTAACCTGACTGCTCAGCAATTTCATGGAGTGCCCACGAGTCTCCTATGCTTGTGTTCATTTCTGATCCTTTAAGGCTATATGTTACCATCATATGATGCTCTCTGAGGAGTGTTGGTCTGCGGTCAGTAATGCCAGATACACAGATTTATAGATACAGGATGCTAACTTTTAACTCCCCCCCCCCCACATAATAATAGCCATATGAAGATTTTTTTCCAAATCCTGGCTGCTGGACTACGATAACATAATGGTAATCAATATTTCCTATCTCCAATTAATTTTGTCCAGCGCCGTGAAAAAGTAATAACAGCATTTGCTTGCTTGACTGGTTCTGCAAACTGTTTGTTATAGTGCCAAAAGGAGAAAACCTTTCATCTCGAAGCACATTAAGATTCTTAACTTCATGCTTCTGATTTACATAACAAATGCTCAATATTTACCCATGGATATCAGTATATAATGGGTAAAAGAATCCTTACAGAGCCCTCGAGGGTAATCCCCAACAGTCGTCCCTTGCCTGACAATCCCTGTTGTGTAAAATGGTCCTGCTTAAATCACTGAAAGGGAAAGCTAAGCGTTAATAGCTCCTTGGAGAAAGGGCAGAATAAAATATTTATAGATCGGTTTTATTGTATTTACTTATCTGTCTCATGCTATTGTAGTTATCTTGCCAGATGGTCAAATGGGATTTTTAGAGCCTCAGGGAAGCATCGGCCAGGGTTCAGAAAAATGTCAGACTTGCTCTGCACTCCAGAGGGAGTTCTGAGTTTGTGTTTCTCTGAATCGTTGCCATGTTTGGAGATGTAGGGAATTTCAGAAGCAGTTTGTGATACCATATACAGATCTGCTGTTCAAAGAGAAACATAGTGGGGGGGAAATCCCATTATGTAGGGGCGAGCCCTTGGACCTCAGGTGCAGTGCAGAATATGTACTTCGTACAGTACATATTTTTTTTTCTATCTCAGGTTAACAAGCTTGGAATAGGAAGTTAGTGCTTAAAGCAAACATATAAAGACAATTTAGAAAATAAAACGGAGAAAGGCTTAACATTAAAGAACCTTTACCCTAAATACTGCTGGTCCCAAATATAGCCAGTTTTAAAATGCAAGTTAATCCTGTAAGGCATGTCTTGCTCTTTAGACAATGAGTGTGTATCCTCCGCAGCAGTTCCAGCAGCAGGTTGTTGTTCTTCAACCAGAAAATAAGCATTTCGCAAGTCTTTGATCTCTAAAATGCCATTGAACTGCTGCTCTTTGATATTTAGTTCCCAAATGCACAGAGGAAGTGTCTTTGGAGACAATATAGATTGTCCTGGGGCTGACTGAACAAAAGGCTCACGTGCAGCTAACAGTGACTTCTAATTGCAAGGCCCTTAAGGCAGATTCTGGCTTTCAGTTGGTCCCCTTATGCTAGCAGGTATGCACGTAACATACATTATCTATAGGAGAGCTTCTTATCATGAAGCTAGTTGCAATCTGCCTGCAATCTGGAATGGTGAGATTTTCATAGGTGGGGTTGTGTGTGTTTTTATATGTGTGTGTGTCCACCTGGAAGTCATGGCGACCTCTGGTGACTGACCCCTACTGGGGGCCTGGAGATATTCAGAGAGGTGGCTGAATAAAGCCTGCCCCCGCCTCCCAACTGCTGGTATTCCAAGGAGGTCTCCCATCCAAATACTTGTCAGAGTCCAAATACTTGTCAGACCCTGCTTTGCTTCTGAGGTCTGATTGCCTGGGCTATCCGGGTCACGGCTGCGGGATTGTCTTTTGAAACAAAATCATATACTTGAGATGGTCTTCATTTAATTCTCTTGTTCCACACAGTTTTAGCCATTATTTCAAGCAGCCATGAGGACCAGCAACTAAGGGTTGTGTGGAATTTTATCTTCTGAGTTCCATGAGCTGGTT